CTGGCAAATGCGGCTCGGTAAAATACGGTATCACGGGACATTTTCATAGAGTTTGTTGCGTCCTTCCCCTTTGAACACCCTATGCATTTATAATAACTATTATTATTATTATTATTATTGTTATTATTGATATCACACCCATTACGACATCACAATGCCTGCGTTATCTAGAAACGACGATGATGTATTCCAAAATGCTCCACTAGCATTATAACTGCGTTTACTTATAAACTTAACTCTGTAAACACCTTGTACGAAGTTTTTATTTGTCGAAGTTTAAACATAGCTGGCAGTCCGATGTTTAGATCCTTAGTCACTTCAACCTCCAATGTGAATGACCAAGGCCCAAATGTTTCCCCCTCTCGACTACCAAATTCTCCGTTTCCATTTTTCCTAAATTCCATCAACCATGGAGAAGAGCGGAATTATTCTAATTCCTCCTTTTCAAAAGTATCCCTCCCGTGTATTGTGGCAACATAAGACTTGCAAGTAGAATAGAGGGTTGTAAATATATAATCCACCAAATTGCATTTTCGTGAAGATTTAGGTATCTCGTTCGTGATTAAGTTCTTCCGTAGTGAATTATTAGATTTGTGTGCGTGTATCGGTTACTTTATTTCTTGTGGTTGATGTAATTATACTAACACGTTGCATGTCTAACGAACATTAGCAGTAGATTTATGGATGTTATTATACATTTCATTCTGTTGTTGAAAAATAGGTTCGTTCGTACGGATCCGGAAAATTAATTGGATCAAACAAGATCGACTTGAACTTTTACTAAATAACGTTTATAAAATTTCCACTTCCACGGAACAATTTCCATGAACGAATGTACCAAAATTTGTATCAACATGTAAGATCGCAGATCGGTCAAAAACTTCTCAAAAATTCATCTACGAGGTCCCAACTGAATCTCCCAGGACGAGGAAACTTTCCCGAGACTTTTTCTGTCGGCGGCGATAACGTCTGGGATTTGGCCAGCGGTTTCCTGAAAGGTAGGGACGAAATAAAAGGGTTCGTTGCGGCGTCCTTCTGACGGATCGTCGGGGGCGATTGGCGATCGACTCGATCAGGTGAAGAGCGGAAGAGGCCGCCAAGGCTAAGTTTAAAGGGGTCGCTCGTGGGTGGATGGGGGGAGAGCGTGCAGTTTGAAACGAACGTCTGTCTCCTGGGGGGTTACAGGTGGTTGCTCCTGGAAGAAAGAGCAGAGAGAAAGGAAACGCGTCGAAGGAGCCGGTTGAATGAAACAGAAGGGACGAGGCAGTTGTAGCTCGCTTTTTATTACGCATAAATTGCATGATAAAGTGGCGAACGAATCAAGAAGGCTGCTGGAAATCTTTGCACCATCGTTTTTGCAACACACACACACACACGGCTGGAAATCTTTGCAACATCGTTTGTGCGACAAAAACTGTTCGGAATTTTTGCCGCATCGTTTGTGCAACACAAACTGCTGGAAATCTGTGTAACATCGTTTGTGCAACAAAAACTGTTGGGAATTTTTGCCGCATCGCTTGTGCAACAAAAGATACCAGAAATTTTTGCACCACTGTTTGTACAGTAAATGATTTTAGTATGTGTCCTTGTACTTTAGCTGCCAAAATATGTATTCTTCCATACTCTAATATTCCAATAGCTTTGAAGAAATTATTTTCGAAAACATCAATCGAAGTTACAGTGTTTAAAAAAGATTCGAAGCATTTTTGTTTATTTTTCTACGAGAACATTATTACTGAAAATTAAAGTAAGATAAACAGGAATCTGATTAATTCGTAAATTAATAACGACTATTTGATGGAGTTATGGAAAATATTTGGAGAATCTGTATCACTTTATCGGAAAGAATTGTTACCGAAGGAGCTCGATAAAAGTTAACCCTTTTGAAAAGAAAAGAGGGGATTTTCTATTAATAAAGTTCTCAAAACGTTTGAAAATGGAGCAACCACGTGTACAAAAGAATCCGCGAAACATGGATCCGTTCCCCCAAATTTCGGTGAAATTTCGTTCGACCGCATAAAAGCCGTAAAAACGCTCACACGTGGCATTCATTCTCTGGATACCGTCGTTCACGCAAACAATTTCTTGCGAAGTCGTTACCGTCCGCTGTAACATCGTGCGTTTCAACCCCGCGTGCCTTGAAAAATTAATTACTGAATAATTAAACGTTCTCGTGGTCGAGTGGAAATAAAACTAACGACGCCGGGTGAAAGGAAACAAGCGAATTGAAACGAAGCACAAAAGAAAGTTTTTGAAAAACGCGAAAAAAGAGACGAAAAGGGAAAATGAGGAAAAGAGAAGAAAAGTGAAAAAAACGAGGGAAAGATAAAAAAGAGAGAAAAATTTTAAAAGCGGAGAAACGAGAAAGGAAGAAAAACAGACGAAAATCAAAGGAACGGAAGAAGAGAAAAAAAACCGAGAAAAACAGAGGAAAACTTGGAAAAAAAATAGAAGAGTACCAAAGAAAGTGGCTTGAATCAGGACACGAAGGTTCCGCGAGGAATATTAAAACAGATGAGGCAAAGAAATTCGGAGCAGGACTGCGAACAACAGAGAACAAAGAAAAGAAGCGCGCTGAAACGAAAAGGGAAAGGAAACTTGCATAAATAAAGCAAAAGAAAACAGAGGAAAACTCGCAGCAAGGGAAGAATAAAAATACACGAGAACCCATCGAAAAGAGAAAAGAGAAAAGAGAACTCCGGAAAAAGTTGAACCGGTGCACGAAGAATTCCGCGTGGTAAATTAAAACCGGCTAGCCCCGAAATCCGAGACCGTGGGCTGGACGAGACCCCGAAACGCGGTAGCTTAACCGCGCGCGCCACCCCGTAGATAAGAGCTGACGTTCAATGGCGGCAGGGGGTGCGGAGGAAGATGGGAACAGGAAAAGAGAGGTCCAGCATACAGGAAGAGCGAGAGGAACAAAGCGAATACACAGACACAGGAAAAGAGAGAATCGACGTAGAGGAAGAGCAAGAGAAACGACGCTGACAGACAGAAAGAAAGAGTCAACGCACAGAAAGCAGGAAAGAAAAAGCAAGAGAAGCAACACGACGGAAAAGTGAGACAAGCAACGAAGCTAGAGCCAGAGGGAAACAGACAATCGACATGTAGGAAGAACAAGAGGAACACGAAGAGAGAAAAAGAGAGGATCAACATGCAGGAAGAGCAAGAGAAACGTGTCAAAGGAAGAAAGACAGAATCAAGGGATGAAACAGAGACGAAAAGAGAACGAGCACGAAAGTTCGAGAGAAACGGAGCAGAGACAGAAACACAGACCCCAGAGGAAGAGCAGAGACAAAGAGAGAATCAGCATACAGCGAGAGCAACAGAAACAGAGTAGACAGAGAGACAAAGACAATGAACGCGCGTAGAGAGCGAGAGAAACAGAACGCGAGAGCAAGAAAGAATCGGCATACAGGAAGAGCAAAGGAACGAGAGCTCAGGTAGAGAGAGAAAGAACGCGAGAACAACATAGAGAAAGGGCGAAAGAGGAAGGGAGAGGGACAAAGAGAGCAGCAACACGATGAAAGGGCGACGGCGAGGTGCAGCAAGGGGGCAGAATCGCGCTCGGTGGGGGAGCGAGCTTTCGCAAGCTCGTGGCGCCACTTAGGGGTAGGAGGTGGGACTCGTGGAGCAGCGAAGGGGTTGGAGACGAGGCGGGCCGGCTCGCAACCCTCGGCTCTAGGCTACGGCAGTCAGTCGTGCGAGGAGCGAGGCTCGCGAGGGT